TGTCTACAGGAAGACCACCTCATTATGATATTGAGTATGATGAAACGTTAGCTATAAAAATATGTAATGGATTACGCCCTGAATTTGCTAAAGACCCTCCTGAGTGCATTATCCAATTAGCGAATCAATGTATGGATGCTAATACGTATCAATATCTTGTACTTAATACGTAAAATATATCTAAATAATTATTTTCATATAAAATAATATATAAATATATATGTTGTAAACAATGTTAGGTTAAATAGTTTCGTTTACTACACCTAGAAAAAGTTTTTAGACAAAACCGATATAGAATTTATTATTTGCAACGAGTCAACCAGGGCCCCGGGTCGATGGCGCAGCCGCGACATATGAATAATCAATCGATGATGAGCCTCAAAACCATTAATTAGTACAATTGTTCATTAAGGGTTAAATTGACATCGATTATTGTTCGTACAATACAATATAATTGACAATTGTGGCTGCGCCATCGATCCCCCGATTACGTGATTGTGCAGGGTTAATTCTTGAGAATGTGTTATTTTGATGATATGGATATATAATGTCAAATTGGTTAAGAAAATCACTTTACACGAGTCAAGTGATTATGTAAGCTGTGATCTGCAAAATTTGATCAAAGATACTGTACATTTTGCAAAACCGTGATAAATAAAATTCGATTTTAAAAAAAATTCGGATCCAAATTCATTATGTCCATAGTTGACTGTTCTCAAGAGGATTGTCAAAATTCTTTTAGTCTAATCGTAATGTCATACCGTTAATAATAGCCTAAATAAAAATGCCGGCTTACGTACGAATTCGGCTGGTACATGTTATATTACGCACGTATACGTAGTATGTAGGTTGATATTTCTTAATGTCGGCAAACACTGATGAATACACCGATGAATTCCGGCGGGAATTTTTTGGATCGATTCATTGTTAACCGAGATAAACTTTAAAAAAAAAAAAAAAATTTTTTTACATTGCTAAGCCACCGAATATATAAAGATTCAATCGGTACAAAAAAAATTTTTTTTTAATATCAAACATGAACAAGTTAAACGGAAGGTAATACTTACTATTACCTTTTTTTTTCGCAATTAATATAATTTTTGTTTCTATTGATTTACTTTTTTGAACCATTTTTAAAAAAACCTAATTTATTAAATAGCATATCTACAAGTTCTACATTACAAAGGAGAAAAAGCAATAACAATCGACTTGGAGTCAGTTCCATAGACAATATCAATCCAACGCCAGTAGTACCCGGGTTGTCACCGCAATTTCAAATAACAGACGAACAGAGGGTGGAAATAAAAGAAGCTTTTGACTTATTTGATATAGATAAAGATGGTGCATTAGATTCACATGAATTAAAAGTACGTAAGCCCAGACCATTTTAATTTGATGGTTTACATTATTCCCTCTCCCCACTTTTACTTTCCACCCTCACCTTCTTAGTAAAGATATATATATGGATACTGATAGGGATGGTTGTATGTGGGCCTGCAGTTTAGACCCGAGTATATAATTCCGAGTGAAAATAAAAAAAAATAAGATTGAAAAATATATCGATATTTTTCCGAAGGGAAAGTTTTATTAGAATGTAAACCACCAAATCAAATTGTTTTGGCCTAAACAGTAGGAAAATGCAAATAAAATTAAAACTAAAACGAATTGTATGAGTTAGGTAGCCATGCGTGCTTTAGGATTTAATGAGAAAAAGGCGGAGGTTCTCGAAATTATACGTAAATACGATAAAAATGATGAAGGAGTCATTTCATTTGAGGATTTTGATAAAGTTAGTGAGTATATAGATTGTATAAAGATTATAAAATTATATATATTTCTTTATTATAAAATTATATATATATATATTTCTTTTTGTTTGAGATTAGGAACGTTTCCCTTCATTCCAACTAATTTTTTTGAATCTATTTAGTGTCAGAAAAAATATTAAATCGATCACCACTAGAAGAGATTCGAAAGGCATTCCAGCTTTTTGATGATGATAATACAGGAAAAATTTCGTTGAATAATTTGAAACGAATAGCTAAAGAGTTAGGTGAAAATTTGGATGACGAAGAACTTCAAGCAATGATCAATGAATTTGATTTGGATGAAGATGGTGAAAGTATCCTTTTTAATGATATCTTTCTATTACACAATTCAAGCTTTCGATTTAAATTTCTTAAATCTCTTGCCTGAATTTTCACAATTAACGCACATAAATTATCCTTAACTGTTTTCATTGTGTGATTATCATGCGTTTATAGTAAATGAAGATGAATTTATAAAAATCCTTCTTTCAGAAGATTCTTTGGCATAAATGGATTTTGGACAATGATGTCCGAATTGTCTAATCAAAAGTAATATACATTAGATTGGATATATCATTTTCTGATATCTTTATGTCAAAACTCTTCGCATATATCCAAATTAATTAAAACAATGGTGTGTCGTGGGATAACATTCCATCTAAGCATACAATTAGCTTCGAAATTATAATTATTAACAACTAGATTTAAGGCCAAGCAAGCATATTTCTAGATGCTATTCTTTTAGTGATCGAAGTAATGCACTGCAATTATTGGCTATTATATAAAATTTAATAATAATACGAATAAAGAAACTATAGAGATTTGCTCAGGCATCATTCTTATCGTGATTTACTAATAATTGTAGGAATGTTCAATTGTCACGATAGATACTACATATCTATTGCTTAATGGCAAATCCGGTTAAGGCAA